TTCCTACCTTCCTTGTGCTGGGATTGGATGATATGATTCTACATATTCAGGGAGTCTGCAGAACATCTGCAATGAAATTGGTTTTCTGTGGAAAACTGATGAATCACTTACTGCCAATGACTGGAAGGAAAAGTACTTGTTTATGCCCTTATGTAATGAATTTTTATGAGGTGAAGTTTGCTGTTTATAAAAAATATACTTTCAGTTGCTGTAGATGTAAAATAATAGAATTCAGAATTTAGACCACCACATTACTGAAAAGGCAGTCACTAACAGAAAATCATCTACTTACAAAATGTTAAAAAGGGGCTTTTACATCTATAATAGAATTAAAAATTCCATCCATTTTGTAAGGTCTTACAAGAAAAAAAACCAAAGCAGGGACAATATTAACACCGTTACCTTTGTTAACATATCTTAAAATAAAATGAATACTTTTACCAAAAAATCTGCTTCAAAAAGTAGATCTAAACCATTATGCTCATGAGCAATTCCTCAAAAAGGAGGCAATGTCTCTCTGTAATCATGGAAAATCAATTGCATGCTTTTCCTTGCATGTCCCCTCTCTAACAACATCTTTTAAGCATGAGGTAAACTGATAGCTCAGGGGTAAGAACTGACCACTTCAATGTGAATAATAACTTTTCACAATCATATGTATGTTAAAGAGAGTTGTATGTCCGTAAATGAATTAGTGGAGCTAATTTTGAGAATTTAACCAAAATAATTGTTATATTTTTACATTCAAAAAGAGTTGGGTTTGATTGCTATAATCTTGTAATTACTTTTAGAATCTTGAGACATTTCATTCACTGCTTGAATGTCATTTCTTTTTGGACCCTGCCATATATTTCCAGGAATAGCTGTAGGTGACTGGAAATGTGCAGATATCTATTTTTAATGAGTAATGCATTTTGCATTTCTTTAGCAAAAGCTGGTTTGCTGTGTATGTGAAAAACTTCAAGTGCCATTTTCTTCAGACTTCTATCTCCTTGTCCTGACATCTATATTGGTTCTGCAAGTATGGCTAATGTACCATTTTTTCTTGGATCAATTTAGTATATTTTTATGAAGATGAGTTTTTGTGGCACTAAGCAATGATGCAATGAGCAACCTGCACTGCTTTGTGCCTTGCCACTCACCTATCAAATTGTTGCATAGTGCCTGCTGTTAATGCTATCGGTCACAGCGATTGTGAAAAGGATGGAACTGAGAAGGCACGCTGCAGGTCCATCTACACCTTCTGCAACAGTCAGGTTTGCTTACACCTGGAGACAACCAACCAAGTACAACTGAACTGTTACTCTATCTTCCTCAATGTGTCTAACAGAAGCTGTGCCACTTGGCTAATTGCCCACCTCATGCTTGCATTTGCAGCATGCTCTGGCCATTCAGGTGTTGCTTTTGGAGCAGAAATACCATTCACCACACTGGGACCATTCTGCCCTCTGTGTATGGAATGAACAGCAGTGAGTACATAGTTTTTGCATGGAACAGCCCCTCTTTGAAATCCCCATGCTGTTTACCCTGGAGCCATGTTCCTCTAGAGCTCTGATTCCTGTGTCCAGCACCCCTCACTGCCTCCAGTTTTGCCCAACACTGATCTTTTGGGTTAATATGGAACAAATCAGGGATTGGTCGTTATTATTGGTAGTGTAGCAATCATAGAGATGGTCAGAGCCTGTTGTGGAAGCCAACCTGAAGCGATGGCAATTATCTGCTCTTTGGATCATGTGACTTTATTAGATGGGGGCAATCCATAGGATCCACAATCTTAGGTAGGAGCATGCATCAAAAGAGGCTGGAGTTAGGAGTTATCAATAAATATTGCATTCACATCACAAAAACTTTTATTTTATTACAGGACACTGATTTGTGGATATTATAACTGGCTACAGCAGTCCCTCATATGAGGAACTTACCAACTTGAAGATCAGACTGAAATCTTCATCAGTGCAAAAGCATACTAAGAAGAGCTTAATTAGCCTCCCATGTAAGAGTCAATACTGCCACAAACACAGCCTACTGTCTTTGCCTGCTGCAGTAGGCACTCTCCCTGTGGCCCAGGGACTACCCTGCCCCTAGGCAGAAAACCCTGATCCTTTCTGCCTCCTGTCTTCAGGCCACAAACAAGAGAACTAACTACACGTGGCCTTGTTAGGGAATCAGGTGTATTTGCCTGAAGACTTCTACTGAATCTATAAGCTGTGACTCATTTCTTCCATTAAGACAATGTATCTCCAAGGAATATCCTTGACACAGTTATTGCACCAGAGGTATCCTTCCCAATTGTACAAACAATTTGGAGATGCTGTCTTGGGTTATTTCCTTGGCACGGAAAAGCCTATTTAGGTAATATCTTTAACCAAGATGGCACAGCAGCTATTGGCAAGTGACTAAAAGCTAGGACACTTTGGTCAGCTTAATAACACTTAGCAGGTCTGCAGTCAGAGGTTAGACAGAAGGTTGCAATGGACACAGAAAATGGCAGAAGAGTCAGCCTATCCCCCTCTCCTGATCTACTGCAACATGCTCTCATTAGTTCCCCATTACAGCTCTTCCAACATAGTCTAATGCAAAGCATGCACCAGACTGACAACCTTTACTTCCCTGAAATATCCTTGAAATACATCCACCAAAAGTAGACAGATTCAAGATGAATTGTAGCACACTGGCCAACTTTACCATACTTTCCACCAGTTTGTTCTCTAAGAAGTAGCTGTTCTCAGGATCAGAGAGGTATTCAGCTAAGGACATTGTACTTATTAAAAACTGCCTTCAAGATATAGAACTACCTTTACTTGCTGTTGCACAACTGGCCACACCTCCTATCTAAAATAGGTCTGCATTTTGCATGCAGTGAACAGATAGTTTGAACAGAGGTCCAAAACTACAGGTGTGCTCCAGAGAACAGAAAAGATGACTAGCTGGCCTCAGCAGATGCTCTACAATTATGCCTGTGCACGTTTGTGAGTCATCTGGTCTCAGTTTCCCAGTCTGAGAGGGATCCTGCCCACAACTGTCTTTTCCCTATTTGGTCACTTTGCCAGGCTTGTGCCAGCTCCAGCCTTGGAAGTGAACTCCCCTGGAATGGTGGAAACTTAAGACTGCAATAACAATTTAGGTGGATGTTTTGATGTTGTCAGTATGGAAAGTTCTCCTGGGAGGTAGAAGGCAGGCAGCTGGAATCTACTCAACCAATTCTACTAAGAGTTTTTCCTGGGAATGCATAATGGGTGGAAACACCATTTTGAAACTGTTCCTTGGTTTTGATTGTATTCACTGTGAGTTGCAGTATCCCAGGCTACTATACTTTTATTATTAAAAGTAAATGACCATCAACTTTACTATTGCGGCAGTAAGCACGTGACCTTATCCTGTGTCCAGCCATTGTCACGATATTCTCTTCTTAGAACAAGGCAAGACAGCTTCCTAGCAAACAGACAGTAAAGTGTAATGGTTGATAATTTGTTGCTATGACTAGTCTGCTCACAAGAACAAATATTAAAAAGCTTTAGAACCTTAAACTGAATGAAATTTTAAAGTGAACTCTAAACTAGTTTCTCACTTTGCATTTTAGTCTCATAAATACCAAAGTATGAAATCACCCATTGAGTAAGCATAACTACCCTTCAAAAGAAAAACGCAAACTTCAGAACCTCTTGATAAAAAAGTATAATTTATTTGTCAACTTGGATCTCATATGAATGATACATCCTAGAAAACAACTGCAGTAGTATTCTCAAATAAGGACATTCATTAGATTTTTAGGAAATATATATCTCTTATGTTTCTTCACATCTTCTCTTCATTAATGTTGAGATCATCTTTGCCCACCATTTATGGAAAAATGAAATATTTCCAGGTAATGTAGAAATCAGATACTATCATTCTCATTTTTTTTACAGAATATGTTTACAGAAAATACTGCTTTTAAGTCTTGTATAACATTACTTAAATAAAACCTCTCTTAAAGCATATAGAGTAGAAGGAGCGGTGGTAGCTTGTGGAAGCAAGGAATCAGATTTCTCTGACTCCTTTCAGCTGAATGTGTCCTGAATCACACTGTGGCAACTGGTAATTCTCATTCAAATGAAGATGTGAAAAGTTTTCAAGTATATTTATAATATAATCGATCTGTTTCAGTTACCACTTCATTTTCTGATTTTTGATACAATTAAAATATTCATGCAGCACACAAAGATGAACAACAGAGCACAAAGAAAACTGGTAATACAAGGCTGTAACTCCTATCCAAGACTGAATAAAAGTTCTGGTCCTTTAGCTCCCTTAAATTCTAGGCATTTATCCTTTTCACCGATGACTACTCAGAAGTACATTCTCATGGTAGCTGAGCACTAAAATCCTTTTGTTTGGAGATTAACATTCCAAAATAAATTTTATTCCCTCTACTGCAGGAAGCATTGCCAGATATAGTAGTATATAAAACTAATTATCCCTTGATTAGTCTACAAATTATCTGATTTTTTTTTCTGTAGTATCTTCAAGTAAGCCTTTTCTGCAGCTTATATATCACAAGACACAACAAAACAGAATTACAATATAAAAAAAGGTATATATTTAATTTTCAAGTGCTATAAGGGAGATGCTGAATATTGAAGTCCTAAAAAGCTAACTTGCTTTTCAATATGTAAGTTTTTCAATATGTAAGTTGGAACCTTGGTCTCGTCAATCTCAGCTGTGACTAAACTGAGCAAAGGTTTCACCATATGGTAGATTAAAAAAAATTAAATAATTCTTTATCTGACTAAAAGAACCACTCTCTTCCCAAACCTTCTACTACTGTGAGATGCCTGGTATCTGCTTACCTGCATGGGAAATAAAAGAACTAAACCCCCACCTTAAGATCTAGGATCTTATGGTAACACAAACTGTTTGGTTATGACACAAGAAACAGACTTTACAAACTTGGTCAATTCTTTGGACTACAAACCCAACACTGTGATGAGGAGGTGCTACATTAGCAGGCCAATGCTAAGTATCAAAAGTTCACTTCCAGAAGAAAAACAGTGAGGTAAAATGCAGTATAGCACAGCTGGCAAAAACTCGCTGTACAACAGAGGTACTGAACTGCTGGAAACAGGTTTTGTACTGATTGTGTACCTGCATGAAGCTGCAAGAGACAAAACAAACCTCGAGAAATTCATACCGATTAGGAAAATCAAACAGCAGGACAGAGAAACGTGAAACGAAAAAGGAAGATAACATTCTTTAAATATTCTGAAAAATTAAACATTTCTAAATAGGAAATAAGCTGACTCCTATCTAAGAAGGACATGACACCTAACAGAGGCCACTATAGAGAATCCATGCTCCTTTGACAAAATATCGCACTGTGACTTCAATTTCAGAATAAAGAGAGTTCACAGCAAACAAAGGTCTACTATGATTCTAAGCTACAAACACTGGATTTTGGATGCAAAAAGATCTTAATTAAGGTTAATTAAAGACAGAGGTAGCAGAAATGCTGATGATGCTTTCTGGAGACACTAGACCACCTCAAAGTCAGGGTTGCTAATACATTTCTTTGGGAAAAGGTATTAAGTGATGAAGAGGGAAAATTCACACAAAATGTCTTCAGGATCAGGAAGTGAATCCAGGATACACTCCAACTGTCTTGCCAGTTTTGATTCTTCTACTGAAGACAGATTTGCTCCTGCTGTTTCCAATTGCAACAGCAAATAACAGAAATATGGCAGGCTGCTAATATACACATTTGACGGCTAATAACATTGCGGCACAGTATGGGGAAGCAATTGCTCTGAAGTCTCTGTTGACTCATAGAACAGTAGCAGAATTAATGAAGTTTTGGGATGCCCAAAGATAGTTACAAACTTGCGAACTATATTTAATTGCATCAGATGAAAGCGAAGTGTGTCACTCTAAAGATCAAAACCTAGAATTTAAGATCTTCAAACAAATAGGCCGGTGGGTTGTTTTAATCAGAATGTAGAATGTAATAAATCATTTCATAAAAGTAGATCAAAGATATTGGATCAGTCGTTACCATAGTATTTTTGGGACTGACTATTGATGATAGCCAATCAAGAACACAGCCACCATAAAGCTATTTACTCAAATCATCTGTATAAGTTTTTGAAAATGTAAGAGTCAAAAGAGGATGAAATGTATTTTTGTGTTAATGAGACTCTTCTGAGTAAGACTTCCTGCTAAAAAAGAACTACAAAAAATAATCTTATAAAACCAGGTTGAAGAATAAAAGGATAAAGTGTTAGAACAGTAACACCATTGCAAAGCCAAATAAGAAACCAAATAGTGAAAGCAAAGAGCAGGAAAGCTACCTATTTTAATGCATCAACATGCACATAACTGTGTTTGAACTTTTTTTCTGTGTGGAGGTGAACTGTGAGATTTGGCATCCACCTTGACCACATCAAAAGAAGAAGAGTGTCAATTCCCACAGACAGCATCTTGTGAGTAAACAGTTTTCTCCAGTGTCTCAGACTCAGAAGAGTGCAAGTTACCCTTGGCAGCTGCTACATTCCAGTGAATGATGGACTTCATCCCTCAACTTTGTAGTAGAAGGTCATATATAAGTCACTGAAGATCAGAGACATAGCTGCCTGAGGAAACTAGTTCAGTCAACTCATGAAGGTGTAAAAGGTGCACAGTATTTGCACCGGAGGTGGTTATATCTCCTGTAGGCACATGTTAACTATGGGGTATTTACCTATCTACCAGCTGGATCACAAAGTTTATGGTCTATTAACAAGAAAACAATTCATCTTACATCTTCTCCTTTTTTTTAGTGAAACACCACACTGGGAATAATAAATAAACAAATTTAAAATTATTCTTTAGGCTCGAAAAGAATGACTGTTCCACCGAATCCATCTACTAGCTAAGTTAGTAATGGCACAAACTTTTACAACAAGCCTGAGAAAATACACAAAATGGGTAAGAGCTTACTGGGTGTCCTCTCTGTCTTTGAGGGAAGTATATAGAATGCAGTGAAGAAGCGGCAGGCTGATAAACTAGATCTAAAACCAAATTATTTACAACACAGGGGTACTAAACTGGGATCAAGTAGTATGAGAGAGAGTAGAAGAGCTGCTAAACTTGTTTTCTTTGCTTCAGAGTCAAGCTGGCACTTGTAGGAGACCAGAGGAATGGTTGACTGGGTCAAAACAACGAGGTGGGAAGCAACGGGGGAAGAGGGGGAGCTCTGAGTAGGTGGGCCATGCACTGCTCCCCCTGCCCCCTTGAGTCTTCTCACACTGTGTTGCGCAGTGACTTTAGGAAGTCAGCCACCCATCCACATGGTAACAGGGGCAGTCGACCGCATGGACCCACCAGGAACACTCTGGGTCTGTGCAAACACACCCATGAGACTTCAGTTCTGAAATCAGCATCAACTCACCTGGGGAAGGGCCCCAGCAGACCAGAACAGATAAAAGGATGGTGACACATGCATGTGGCAGTAGGGTCTACCCTGATAAGGCCCAGAATTTGATCAGAGAATGCAAACAATGCAAGCTATCTGTGATGAGTTACCAGTGGTGTCATAGTAATGTTTTTGGTGTTGAATTATGCTAAAACCAGCCTGGTTCACCATATTCCAAACACAAATCCTGCTTTTTAAAGTTGGATGTGACAGATAAGCTGGTAGTTGGCCTGTAAATTTGCGACTAGCAGTCAATCACTTTTATACTATAAAAGTCCAGTCCCCTTTCATAGAGTCAGGTTCTTCTAACATAACTCTTCTTGGGTGTATGTGCAGAGATTCCTCCCTCAGGCTGTGGATGCCCCCCAAGGATATTCCTCGAAGTTGAGCGAAAGAGATCTCCCCACAAGCGCTGGTATGGTTGAGTTACATTAAATCTCTACTTTATAATTATTTCATTTTGCTACCCTTAATTTAATTTCTTCAAGAATGGCTTCAATATAGAGTGCTGTCCTATCTTATACTATACTACTAGTAGTTTTAGCATTTATATGGTATAGTAAATAATTCTGGTTAAGATCTTTGTCTGATCATTTGTAATAATAAATGATTCATTTTATATAAACATTCTTGGTTTGCCATCATTAAAACCTGCAGGACAAAAGTGGTTCCATCACACTTCTATAATTCCTTCAATTTAAACCACTGACAAAATCCAAAGCTAAGGTTGGATACTTTCTGCACCTCATGATTCAACAGCAGGGTTTCTGGATTTAAAAGCTGCTTGAGACTACACTGCATCCTAGGGTGGTGATAACCTACCTTCCTCTCTCTCCTCTTACCTTCTTCTCCTCAAAATATATTGTAAGCCAGACCAAAAGGTTCCAGTAGATGCCTTGTTAAGTACCTTGTTGTGTCTCGATGAGTTAAAGATTACCAAGTTTAAGTCTGTCAAGTGCCTTAATCAGTCAGAACGTTCTACAGTTTGCAAGTAAAAGTTGTTATTGAACCTCCTGAGAATTTTGTTGTTTCTCCCATGCACCGCCTGGAGTAAATCCAACCACCTTCCCCTAAACCTGTCAAGCAGACAGGGGCATCACAGCACTGTTACTCAATAAAAAAACCTAAGAGTAGTAAAAAGTATATGTTACGACAAATTACAGAGTCTCCAAAACCATCTTTAAGCTTCCAGTAGCCTCTGAATTGTTCCATTAATCACTTCAATATATTTCATGTATTGTATAAAACAAAATCAACCGCATATCAGACATGCAATTCTGTCATTTCAATTTTATACTTCAGTGGTTGAAGAGTGTGTACCTCTGAGCCACATTTAGGACATGTAAAATACATATCAAATAAGTAGTTACTTTTAATACAGTAGTAACAAAAAACATGTGGACAGCCTATGGTATGAGGCATGGTAGGCCATTCCCCACACAGCGAACATTCCCTGCAGTGGCTTGCTAATGTGTTTTCACTATTGGAAAGACCTGCAATAGGTAAACAGCAAGAAGAAATTTTAAGTTTCAGTTTCTGTACATTAATAAGTGGCAGTAGATAAATCAGAAATTCAGCAAAGCCATGCCATAAGAGCTCCCTGTTCATGTATTCAAATCCTACCTGACGAACACTTTGCGGCTTGCAAAAAACTGACCTAATTCCTAGAATGCGTTCTGTAAGTGTTGCAAATGTTCCTTTCCGAAGAAAAATCAGAAAATTTAGAACTCCACAAAGTTTTAGAAGTCCAGTTCCAAAGCTAATATAGCTCTTAATTTTGGAGAAAGATTGTTGTTGACGATTGCTAAATAAATCATAACATCTTTCTTCCAACCATCTTCCACCAACAGTGAAAATAAGATACCATAACTTTTGTTGTTTGCTCAGAGGTTGGTATTTCTCTGTCTGAGATAAGTTATTCTTGTACTGAATATTCAGAATACCCTGTCCCACAGTTGCATTCTTGGAATAGATAGTGAATCTCCATAATATAAGACATAAAAATGCTTTTACTTCTGGTTCAAAGTGAGCCAACACCCCTGGTTTAAATCCATGAAAACAGTTGGTAAACTGGGACCACACGAGTTGTTCCAGGGCTTTGTTTAGTTCAAGAGCATCAAGTTGACTTATTCTGAGCACAGGATTCACGCCCTTTTCATTTCCAGTGCTGGAGGCCATTTCTTCAGAGAAAAAACTTTCTAGGAATAAAACACAAATAGATTTCAGTGTAATGGAGCATTTCTTATTTCTCTTTTTATTAAAGATAACAAAATTGTAATATACCAGCAGTAAATAAATATATTCAGAATGCTATTATTTGTTATTAATGTTACAAATCCTTTCAAGAAGCTTTGCATTAATAGTAAGAAATTTCAACTCAAAAGAAATTATATTTGACTATTTCTCATAAACAATATTTGGATTTGGTTACAGAGAAGCATTCAACATCTAGATATTTAGAAAAATCCACCAATTTAGTATTTTGCGGTATACACTTAAAAAAAATATTGCAGGGCATAACTGTAATATTCAACTGGACATTAAAATAGATCAGAAAGAACTGTAAAATTTTACGGTGTTGTATGGAAGAACTGGGAAAAGGAACATCCTATTAACTAAAAATCTAGAAAAGATTAGTGGGGAGGACAGAAAATATACTAACATGAACACTTCAGCAGCTGCATCTGAAAGTATAATCTTAGAAATACTAACAAATTCAGGATTTACTTTTTTAAAAGTGTTTCCTTTAAATGTTATTGTATCTGGAATTCTGTGACTAAGCAAATAAATTCATCCAACTGCAATAGCAAAATACAGATAACACCTGTTACACTCCAGATTTTAAGCCACAAGCTGCCCAGAGTAGCTACATTTATTTAAGACTTTTTAAAAGCCTTTTGGTTTGTTATTACCTCGAGTTCATGTCCGGAGAAAACGCTACTACGCTTTCATTAAGAGAATTTCTTTTAATTTAGTGATAGAAATAAGACATTTTGGCAAAACGTTTTACAGGAGTAAAATACAACCAAGAAAAGCATTTCACTAAAACACTTGACACAGAGATCTAGTTTACAGAAAACCCCTTTAAACTTCTCCTTCCTCATTAGCAGGCAAAACAGGGCTGAAAGTAGCACAAGGCCACCTCCTCTGGACAAACAGCTTTGGGGTTCATTGCATCAACTCAGACAGGTCAAAAAGTCAGCATACAAAGGCTGTACACCCAAGCCTGTCTCACTCACACTGTTCTGTAGCAGGAACCAAAGCACAGGAAACATTTTTCAGTACTACTCAAATAACTTCACTCCTCTACTTTATGATCAAAGGGTCAATTCAACCCCTACTAGATCTTACTGTATCACTTCAAGAGCTTGAGTGCTAACGATTATCCATCCTTCTACCCCTATCTTACCGCACTACCATTTTAGGAACCAGAGCCTCTTATCACCATTTGCTCTGGAACCTGTCACTCTGGTTTAGTGTTATTAACTCATAACCCCTAAAAGTCTAATGTCTTCTTCATTTTCTCTTCTACTCATTTCGCTCTGTTCAACTTGTTCCAGTGTTCTATACAATTCCAAAAACACAAAATCTCCTTTAAAAATCCTAAAGTTACTCGAAAGGGACATCTTATCAAACAACTTCCTTGATCCATCTACTAAGACGATTTTCCAACATCAGTTCAACCACCTTTTCCGGCTGTGTTCCATTATCCCACGTGCCGTGAGAAATTTCTGTTGCAGATTGTTCTTAAGTAAGGTAGACTAAACCTGTAGAGATTTTTCCCCCCATTATAACCATATTTTCTAAAGAAACCTGAGCAAGTGAGGAATGGGTCATCAGGAACTTTCTGAAACCCAAGGAAAAAGTGTCAAATACATAGGATTATGATGGATCATGAAATACATGAGAAAGTCAATGGACCCTTATAGGCTGGGAGCCTCTATGACTGTATACCCACTTTGAAAAAAGGATGCAAGGATTCTGGTAGACAGAAAGCTGAACACAAGTCACCAGTGCATCCTTGCAGTGTATTAGTATGGGTATAGCCAGTAGACTGGAGGATGTGCTTATCACCCTCCACTTGGCATTGCTGAGTCTACACCTGGGATAATACCTCCAGTTTTGCCTCATTTCTATCAATAGTACAAAAGAAATGTCAGCAAACTGAAGAGCCAAGTCACTAATACCTGATATTAGCCCCAAGACCTGATATATGAGAAGAGCTTGATTGTTCAACTTGAAGATAAGGCATCTAAGAAGTGATCTATGAGTAATCTTCCACTACCTAAGAGCTGCAGTGAAGATTAAGTCAAACTTTTCTGTGAGATGAAGTAAAAGAAAGAGAGACAAC